TCCTCCCCTTTTTGTTCTCTGTGTATTGGTTAACACCCATCGGGGTGCGCTGGCGAGAGCCGCTATCCTCAATAGCTAGTCGTATGCACGATCCAATCTATCCCTTCCAATTGACCCGTTTGCGCGGTGTTCTTTTCGGAGGTCCACAAATCCTAGTGTCCGTTACTTTTCCGTTACTTTTATTTTCTTGCTTATTTTGTCATTGTGCTGTTTACTCATCTTCCACAACAAGAATCTTCCTCATTATTCGACATGACATATCTGCATACTTAAAACATTGGTCAATAGTTATAGTTTCCAATTCAAATGGCAGTACAAATGAGAAAATGCAACAGAAAATAAGATAAAAGAATGAATCCTGAAGTCACTTACTGCACATAAAACAACATAAAGAGAAATGCAAGACAAGATGATAAGATTAATGGAGGAAGTTTTTACCTTACATCGGAGCCGATCTTGCATGTCAGGAGTCGAGCCTCCAAACCACTTAAGTGATCCTACACGGAACTTCCGCCGCCTTTTGTCCAATGAAAAGTAGTTTCTTGAAACAAAAACAACATTGTTTTGCACATCCTTTTCAACAACATACCTGCATGCCATGTCAGAGGGGATTAATATTGCAAAACATGTTATATTGATGGATTAAAGCATACGATATCGTAATTTGATTCCTGTTTAAGCTTGGAAGATTAATTCATATATAAATTTAATCTTGATGTAAGCTTGGTGAACAATTAAAATAACACTAACAGTGCTTCTTTTTTACCATCAAAGCTACTTCAGAATGGGGGTGTATATAAAAAAATACTATTTAACTTAAGCAAACCAACAGCTTTTCACAACATTAAAGATTGACCTAGAAATTATACCAAGGTCCTCCAGGAAGGCGGAGACCATGGCGCTGTCCAATAGTATAAAACCAAAAGCCCCTATGATTTCCCAGGTAGTCTCCTGTCTCAGCTTCTAGCAATAAGCCTTCCATCTCTCCAATATGCCTGGCAACAAATTCACTGAATTTAACCTGCAAAAATACATTGAAAAAGAGTTAAGGGAAAAAAAAAAGCAAACAGTTGAGATTGTTATCAGTTGTTAAGAATAAAGAATCAATTGCAGAACCTCAAAGATGATAAACAATGTAATTTGGAGAAAATTGTAATGCAAAACCAAAAAATGCCGCAACAACAACAACAACATCAAGCTTTTATCCCACTATGTGGGGTCGGCTACGTGAATCTTTTTTCTCCATTGTATCCGATTAAGAGTCAAATTCTCATTTAAATCTAAAAAAGAAAGGACATCTCTAATATTTTCAAACCAAGCCTTTTTAGGTTTATTTCTACCTTTCTTAACATAAGCCAAATCCAATACATCTACTTTCTTAACCGGGTCAGGAAGGTTGTCGTTTTATGTGACCAAAACCTTCTAAGGCGACTCTGTCTAATCTTATCTTCCACTGGAGCTACTCCAACCTTTTTACGTATATGCTCATTTCGCACCATGTCTCTAAGAGTAAACCTACTCATCCACTTGAGCATCCTCATCTCTACAACACTTAGTATTATGCTTCTCTTTTAATGGCCAACACTCTACACCATCAAGCCTTGTAGGTCTCACCACCATATTACTATATTAGTTTCCCAGACAAAATGAAAGTAAAATATAAAAATGCATAATTTTTCTCTCAAACATTTCAAGATTACCCAGAACATGCAGCGGTTATCATATTTAATTGAACTATATAAAGAATGAGCATTTTAAGTCAATTATACGCAAGTATTTTTCATTTTAAATAGAGCTAAACCTTGCTGGAGCACAATTCATTTCTAAGTTACAAAGATTTATGACTAGAGTTGCCAAACATACAAGGCCTAGAGCAATGATGTTTCTTGTAAGGGTAGCTGAAGCACTGAATACTAACGTTGGCGCAAAAATAGTAGAATAATGAAATCCAAATCAAGTGACGACAGTTCACTCAAATTGCTTAGTACATAGAAAAACTGTATTTTTTAACAATGTGCAACATCACAATGTTGATGTAAAAACAAATGACCATCATATTAGAGCCAAAATGGCAGTCATAGTAAGATTACATATACGTAAATTCTTTGAGAACACTTGATTCTAGAAGCATCATTTCTTGAAAACATTTTATTGTGTGTGCAACAATTTGGTAAGGAAATTACTTTAACAAAATAATTAAGATAGACAACAAGATTCCCTTGTATTTTCCCTGTAAAGGTGAAAAAATACGTGCATATTGAAACAAGATAAAACATTAAAGCTTACATGACACGATTTTAACTAGTAATCTTGTTGACTTTTAACTATGTCCAAGTAGGAATTGCTGCAGTTGTGGTTGATCATGGGAGTAGCAGCAAACAGGAGAGGCAAATCATGGTCAAAACAATCAAAATTAGTCAACCAGGGTCAAGTCAAGATTATGACAAGATAAACACACCAAGTTATACGAGTCAACATGGATTCAAAATTCTTATTAAAAAAAAATTCTATAAAATTAATGCCAAAGAATTGAGATAAAAAAGGGTACATGGATAGAAGTCATACCAAAAATTTTGTGAAGAAGAGTTTTAAAATCATGACAGCACTCAATAGGAATAAATGCAATGAGAACTCATAAGACCAATCCTAAATAGTTGGGATAAGACTAAAGATAATGATGATGAATGTAAAACAAGGCTAATCAAACCCAAAGAATCCAATATAATAAATCAAATTTCCATCCATTGTCAGGACAATGAGCAACACCATCTGAGTAATAGATAGAATGGATCCACACAAAGGAAAGTCTCTGATAGTGGGACTTATTAAAACTCTACAAGCATCCATATATGCTCATATCCCTCTTAAATTTAATATAAGATCTCCAAAACACAAAACATATGCTTCCTCTTGAATAAATATAAGGGGATGGGAATATAAAGGCATGCAGAAAGAAAATAGAGATCATGATAAAGCCTTACAGAACAGTGTCGTTGCGACATCCAAAATATAAGGAATGCTCTAAAACTCAACCCCTCCCCTTCTCCTACATCTTCAACATCACAACCACCTCGATCACCTTGCATGTCACCCATATGCACATTTCTTGACATAATCACCAAGAATACATAAAGAAAATAGAAACCATGATGAGACCTTGCAAACCAATGCACCGCGACATCCAAAATATAAGGACTGCTCTAGAACTCAACCCCTCCCCTTCACCTACGCCTTCTCCAGCGTCGCCACCACCTCTATCACCATACATGTCATCCATATGCACATTTCTTGACATGATGGCGAGCTTCCTTATGGGCAAATTGCTCTAAAAACCACCCTAACACGACTTTTTAAGCATAGTAGAAGACTCCAGCATAACTTTTTTGCTTAGCAAAATGCTCAAGCGCGTCTATCTTTGTATGGTATGATGGATTGGCTCACTTCCCAATACCCCCTTTGTGGGTGTGATGCATAAATGTTGATGTGATATTCAATGAAATCCTAGAGTTGGACACTTTGTCACCCAACATCGTGGGACTAAGTGAAAGCCTGTCAAATTTTTATGGACAAAACAAGGGAATGGATATAAACATCTCATCCTATCAAAGAGCTTGAATGAAAAATGCAAAATGAACTAAAGAAAAACAACAAAAAATTCTCAAATTACCTTACAAACATGCAGAACAAACCACTTCAACATTGTCGAACCTCACAAAAACAAGTCAAGTTGAGTGGGAACGAGTGAAAGCCTCCTCGCACTCCTTGTATTTGAAGAACAATGAATGGAAAACAATAGTAAGCTTTCTTTGTCCATCACAGCACAAAGCTTTTCAAGCTAGTTTTCAAGATTTGTCATTCAGATGACTTTGTCTATCATCCTTAAGGCATATATAGATAAGGGCATAAGTGAGTCAAGCCAACTCGAATTCATCTTATTAAGGAGCCCGTGAGTCAAGCTTATCGAACCACAAGTTTGAGCATGAGCTTAGATTACAACTTATATATTATACAAACTCAAGATTGTGCTTAGCTTAACTTGGCTCATCAACTCGTCGAGCCATTCAATTAATATTAATGGATTGAGTCCACATTTGTTTGAATACATATTTCATAATTTGCCCACATCTCCCTATTTCTTAAAGCCATTTCGATTTACGTCTAACAGATTACATCTGATTGCTTCCCGTCCCAAATTCCGATTTCATCGAGCCGTTCAGCTACTCACGCTCACGTTAATATGCGGATAAGCATCCCAAACTCCCTCTAGTCCCTTGTATTCCCCTAATACCCTCTGTCTCCCACACTAGTCTTCACTTCTTATTCACAAACCTTAACTTTTTCTCCATCACCACTTTGTTCCATCGCTTCAAAGCTCGATCTTCAAGCCCTAACAAATGGCAACCACCAACAGCCAAACGACTGTTAGGAGGAAGGTTCTTCTCCTCTAAGGTATATGCTTCTCCACTCATTTATATCTTTTTGCTATATATTCCTAGCTATTTTTGCCCAATATCATTCATATAATCAACGATGATTATTTTAGAATTTCTTCTCCTATTTCAGGCATATACTTCTCAAATCACCGCATAAATTGCATCAACTCCATCAGGTTCTGATTATTTTTCTCTTGATATAAGTTCTTCATTCATATTTTAAATTTTCTCATTTTCAGACATATATTTCTCTTGATATAAGTTCTTGATACGAATTCTAAAAATTTTGATATCAAATTATGAAATCAAGCTTTTCCACAGAGCTCGAGCATATGAGTCAAGCTCAAGCTTGACATTTTTCACTCGAATCGAGTTCGAGCTCAACATATGAGCTCCAGTCGAGCTCAATCTCAAGTTCAAGACAACTATAAATTAACTGATCTTAGCTCATATTAGTTATGACTCAAGCTCAACTCATTTTATTTGCACCCCTACATATAGAGGAATACATGTTTGTTGAAAGTACAAAGGGGCAAAAGACTATATAACTATGAAGTTTAGCAATTGGATATGACATGATAATCAATTAGGTTGTGGCATGTGTTAACCAACTATTTAACCACTTAAGTACATTTAATGATGTGTCCTAATCCCATAAGTCTACATCACCCAATCAATGTCATGTCAGCATGTAGATTTGATTAGACAAAGAAATGATCAAGAAGGCCATCATAATTTTTTTTAAATTATAGAAAAAATATGATACATGCAAAATAATTTATAGTATAAAAAAAAAATCCAAATATAGATAAATAATCCTGTGCATTTCCCTATAGAGTTTCTTCTCAAACCTGTGATAACAATAAGGTAAACAAATCGATAATTTAATAGCTCAAATTGGAGGCAAGCCCCCAATATCATTTGAGTTTTCATCTTCGAATAAGATCCCACTAATATCCCCAATGGATCACCAATCTCAAGTGTTTGCTATGCCAATATCCACATGGAGTCTTTGTATTGTGAGTGTATCCATGCAACCAGCAAATTGCTAACTTTAGACAATAGCTCCACCATCAATGAACCACCTCAACCAGATAAAGATATAAACAAAATATCCCTTCATTCATATTTTATAGTGCTACAAAAAGGCAACATCTCAAAGGAAGACCTATATTTTCCCATGGAAAGCTAGACTAAGTATCAAATTATATAGTAAAGGTAACAACTAAAGCTGAATAAACAATTCTGAAGCTTCCAACCAATTCACCAAAGATTCCATGGATTCAAATGCCGATGAGTCCTCTTAACCAAATCTACGAGAGACTTTCGTTAAATCACTCTCCAAATTTTGGAGCAATATAAATCCTATTTTGTTTAACAATGTATGATCGTTCATTTTGAGCACAAAATGCCTTCATCTTCACCTTCTCTAATGATGATCTTCCAAGGACCAAAAACACAACCAACCTCTCTAAATAACTAAGAAAAATAATGGTTTCCTAGTGAATTGTATCATCATTGAATCAATCTCCTTAATGAACCTCATGAGTGTACAAGCCTGCATCTAGTACATCCAAAAAGATAAAATGATGCTTTAAGGCATCAAGAAGCTCTAAGGATCTTTGTTCTACCCCCTCACCTTCCGGAAGTTCTACACTAAGGCCCCTCTCAACACACGCACACTCTATTAACGCATGAAATATATTAACGATTGATAAGAACATCAAATCTTTAATGATGTGCAACCCTTAGCTGTTCATGAAGTTAGGATGTATGAGACGTTGTGTCAACGAAATCCACGCTTCACAATAATTTGAAGTTGCGGCACCAATTGTGATGCCTGTGGCACAATCAAAATAGGCAATAAGCAAAAGCCAAAAAAGGTAGAAAAAATCTATGATGGCCCATAAAAATGTTAATGCCTAAATTCCATTGTCAATTGTTATTCCTCATCTTGGAGTGACACTGAAGCAAAAGAATACCTTGCCTTCTTATAGTTGAAGGAGACCAACAAATTCTTAATCAAAAGATGAGATTTCCAGGATGATTGGGATTCTAATCCCAACCTTAAGCTCTTCTTCAAAAATAAAGTAAAATTTATCTCCTTAATTAGCCAAAAATCTCTTTAGTGGTCACTGTAAGAAAGGTACTTCAATCATCTTCCTATTAGACTTTGGCTTAGCATTTCAAAAAGAAAATCTTCTAAAACACACTTAAAGCCTGTTAGACACAAAATAGCACTAACATTATAGAAGTTTAAATTTAATCCTGCTAAAGAAACTATAATCAGTTGTTATTTAAGGCATGAAATGGATGGAAAAAGGCTATCTTATTTCTAAATTTGCATTTAAAACTAAGTCTAAACTTCCACTAGAACTCACTAAAATATGTATTGAGTTCCATCAAAATTTATTGATGCAACTGACCTAAAAATGAACAAGAGTCAAAAACCTAAATATGAAAATAAATTTGAATACAAGACCTTATACATAAACAAACCAAAAATGAGAATTCATCATGTTGACTCAAAATAGTTGAGATAAAGCTAATAATGATGATGATAATTATCAAAAGAAGTCAATAAAGAAAGTTTTAACTTGTGATGCTCTCCAATATGTAGCAAAGTGCAAACTACCTTTCCAAGGAAACATATCCCTTGAGAATCTTTCCTCTCATTGTTTGGAAGATCCATTTGGGTGGCCAGATAACGTACTTCATCCTGCAAATATTTTGGTAACAAAAAGGAAAAGGACACGCTCACTTCAGGATATATTAGAAAATGTGTGTGTGTACAACGTGTGTCTGAAATCCATTATTTGAGTTCCCTTGTCTGACCTTTGAGAGACAACCAAGAGGAAACAGAAGACGTCTAAGTTGAAACTGGGAGAGATGTGATAAAAAATAGGTTTGATCCTTCAGCTGCAAAAAACGAAATCAAAGCCGGTTCAAGCTTTCTGATGCCAATCCAGAGATAGATATTACTAAACAGCAAAGGGGTGTGTGTACCAAAGATATATTGAAGTTACTAAAAATATGTATGCTGTAAGTATGACTTGCTTTCAAACATAAAAGTCGTTAAGGTGTAATAAATTAGTTTTTAAATCTTTGCAAGATTACATCAGGATCAGCACCATGTATGTATCTTTTAGATCAATTACAAAAGGTGTTCGGAGTTATACACTTTATTGTATGTTATTTGTAGATAAAATGATTGAAATAAACGAGATAAAATTTGAAGTAACAAGTATGAACTTTGGAGAAAATTCGATAAGATGCATGACTTTGGATTAAGCAAACAAAGCATGATAAAATGAAATATAATTGAACTTGATGTAATTTGGCAATTATAAATCAAAATTGTCGAAAGATCAAATGATACCAAGACATGATAGATTTATCTATCTCAAATACATTATAAAACAGAATTGTGATATAAATGATGGTGTAACTTTTAAATTTAAATATGTGGTGCTAATATAAAGATAAGCCTACGGAGTGCTACACAATAAGATCATAGAAACTCTAAGTTACATTAATGAAACTATATTTAAATTGGCTATGCTATATGGAATAAACTGTTTGGCAACAATGAAGTAAATTTAATCCAACTTGAGCTTGGCCGAATGAGAATGCTAAATTGGATGCATAGTAAATCTATAAAAGACAAAGTGAGAAACAATTATATTAGAGGGAGGGAAGAAGCAATACTTATTAGAAAGAAGTTAGTTATAAATAAATTGGATGATTCGATATACAATTAAAGGCAAATACATAAACCAATATGAAATGATTAAAAGAAAAACAAAAACAAAAATAGCATAACTAAAATTTGTGTAAAAGATGTGCAAAATATAGTTAACACCGCACATAGAAGTCAAGAAGAATTAATGGAGGGTTCTGGAAGCCAACCCCTAATAGTTGAGATGAGTTTAATGATAAACAAAACCCAAAATGGTTATGAAGATGATGAAGATGTGCACAAAATAGTAAAACACACGAAGTAGAATAGTGTGATGTTGATGGTGACATTTTGTCACATAATATTAATACATATGAAATTTATGCATGCAAATAAGAATGTTATGTAAAGTAATGCAAGCTCCTTTGTAAATAAAGTATGCTAGCTCTCTGTAGTTGCCATCACAGTTAACAATGAAAATGTAAAATATAGCAACCAAAAATTTATCTCAATTACTTATTCTCTCTCGAAATTTGGATTTCAATTTTACGGAAAAATGGTTGAGCCTTTTAATTTAAGGATCCAATTATCCAACCATGGGCTACATGTTGCCATAGTTTCAACATTATAAGAGAAAAATCTCCTAACATCGCTGCAGCATTCCTACATAGCCCCACATATTAGTTAACCACTCATTGAATCCGTCGTAATATTTTCCCCCAAAAGAAGAAAAAGAAAATGATTGCAAAGCTCAAAAACAACATTCTAACATGTACTTTCTAAACCATAGCCATTTATCAAAAGAGTATTCTAAACGATCTTATTCCTCAAAATAAGAAGCTTCTACAAAAACAACTTCATAAACACAAGTTAAGGATGCTTAATTAAAGCTGATAAAATAAGGGAAAAGCATGAGCATACTCCACAATTGAGAAGAAATATATTATCTATAGTTGGACACGAAATTAATATGAGTAAGAATAATATTAGAGACTTCACTTTTTCACATTCATATATCCATTGGATGAAACTTTTGAAAATATAAACCAACGTTGTGCTTCTTCTACCATTAAATATTGAACCTCCTTGTTTATATAAATGTGGTTCATTACAAAAGCATATAAATGGAATTCTTGATGCATCAATCATTCCCCAAAAAGAGGAGAATCTAGTAGCTCCATTGAAATCAGATTGAAAAAGGGGGGGAGGGAAGAAGCTTGCTACCAACACTGTCTTATGTGTACTCACTCTTCCACATAGCAGTTTAACATACAAGTATTAAGAAGACTAATTTATTATTAATATTACCATAACAGATAAAAAGAAGTATAAATTGTATGAAACTGGAAAAAAATAGCACCATGACATAGAAAAGGAATAAATATAAATAAGTGATTTACTATAGAAATACCATATCCTTTGACAATGCCAAGACAGAAGATCCACTGTGTGCACTACAGGATGAGTGATTCACATATGCATAATGACCAGAAGCAATGTAATCAAACCCCATGTTTTCAATTGCTTCTAAGAATGCACCTGAACCAAAGTAGAAAATAGTGAGAAAATCATAATGATCCCAAAAAATTTCTCAAAAGAGGAGCAGTGGAGGGATGTGGATGGAGAACAATTTGCTTGATGTTTGTATATGATAAATCCATTTATCTAAAGCTAATACCAAACTTGATTCTTGTATTGCAAAGGACATCAGGATTTGGAGTGCGGCCAACATGATACTCCTCAATAATGTGAGATACCTGTTTACCATGAAAGATCTATTTAGACAATACATGGGCATAACAAGCATCATTTTACTAAGGAAATAAGTGATAACAGTTCAAATTTCAAATTCTTCACAAAACTCCATGAACAAATACCAAGTACTATTGTTAAATTCTTACCACATTCCTCCAATATTCATCTGATAAATGTACAACTTCTAAAGGAACGTCTACCTGTAAAAGTAGCATCATATCTAACTTCAATAAGTTCAACATTCATAAGATAAATGCACAACATCTAAAGGCACATCTACCTGCAAAAATCGGTATACTTCTTCCAGTGACAGAACCAAAGGAGGTATTGAGGTGGTTCTCCCCCTAGGTTTGTGGTAAAACCTCTTGTAACCATGTACAGTATGAAAGTTTCACCCAAATACGCTTAAAAGCAATTTTAGCTTCACTCAGTTCCAACTTCTCCCTCCCTATCAAACCCCCGCCCCCCGACCAACCAACACATCCTCCTCTCCCACACAGAACCCAAAAATTATAGTCATCAAAGACTGATTGTCAAGTACCATGGTCAAGAAGTAACGCAAATTGGACCAAAATCAATAAATGTAATCCTAAAGTAATAATAGATTAAGCGAACAGTTTCTAAATCATGCATAATGGGTGAATATCAAAGCCATCCTGAGCATTTCCAAAAAAAATACATTTTGAGCCTGTGCAAAGTTGCCTAAACAAAATTGCTCAATATTTGCGCGATAGCTCCTAAAAACATCAACAGTGCCACCCCCAAAATACTCTTGCACTTTTCATCGAACAGAAGTATAACATCCAAACAAATCAATTATTAGTTAACCACAAATCACACTGAAGTAGCTCTCTTTGTGTGCATTCATGTCACAAACAAAACAAATAAAAGCTTCTAACCTGATCACAAACAGCTCTTGCATACTTTAAATCTTCGTCCCATGGGCATTCAGACCAGAAGTTTGCAAAGTCTTCCTACAATATATAAGCATTACCAATAACTATTTCCTCTAGATAAATCTTAATAATCAAGTCATGCATAAACAGAAACTAATTTTGAAGAAATAAAGGGAAAATATAAAACTGATTTATCATCAAAGCGGTCACGGTCAATAGTATACATAAAAAAAATCCTTATGACAATAGGAAAAAAAGTTTAATTAGTGATCATTTGGCTCTGCCAAAACCAAAGACATCTGGTAAAACAAGCATAGATAAGAAAATGAAAAGGAAATTATATGCAAGATAGGAAAATATGCAGTGCAAGTAAACAAAAGTCTAGCTGCAACATATGAAACTTCTATGGCAAAAAATATATTATGAAATTTCAAAATAAGCACATTTCCTGTTGCTTAAAGAAATGGATGCTTCCTTGCAGTGTCATGTATTTAAAGAAGAGAAAAATGTCAATAATATAAGTGGCGAGAAAAGAAAATCATTCATAACATCTTTTAGTGAGAGTTAGAAGAAAATAAATAAAAATATAATAATCAATTTTCCAAGACCTCATATGAAAAAAGATAAATAACATGGGAATACATCTACTAGGATTTTCAATGCGGGAACACTGGACACCTAACTCCCTTCTTCTTCGTCTTTCCACGTGATGTTGGTTATGACATCTCCCTCCCTTTGCTAATCCTTTGCCTCTTCAACTATAGGGGCACTTCCCAACACTCCAAACCACTACATTTTGAAATCCACATCTATACCTCCTTTCATCCTAAACAAAACCCTAATAGTGAGGCCCATCTCACTGTCAGAGCTTTCACCCTCCCTCATAGAACCTCAATCATATTTTTGCATCTCCCCATAACATCAGCCTTTCCCGAGCTCCCCCCAAAGCCTTCACCCATTCCTTGTATTTTGTGAAAATTTCCTTATTCTGATCAAACTTCTCCTACCCCACCATCACAATCCAAATAAATGAATCAAAAGAGCCTTCTTCATCACAACAAGCACATGTAAACTCTTTCATACTCATTTTCTGGAGAACCGCTGGAAAAAGTTTCTCCTCTAACGAGCTCTCAATAGGTAATCAAGATTGGGATATTGGTTTATTTGGTTGTTATGTCCGAAAATGATCATTTTGTGGTTCTCATCTTACCTCTACTCGTCATGGAAGCTTAATGGTACATTTGAAATCCTTTCTCTCAAAGAAGGGTTCTTCTTCGTTCAATTTCCATGTTAGGACAATTATGTATGTTCGAGCGGCCCCAAATTCATCACTAGTCAGTCTTTCTTTCGAACAAATGGTCTATTAATTACCACAAAGAGGTATCCTCTAACCTTTTCCTCCATATCAAATTTCTTAAATTTATACTTTATTGTTTGAGCCTAAAGGAATTACTAAAGTAGCATGTAAGCACAGCATCCTATTAGCTATGAGTAATCCCATTTTTCAAATCCAAACTTACATTTACCTGCATATGTGTTCACATTTCCTCTAAATCAAATATCTCAGATGAAATCACCATTAACCTTAATGGAAAGCTCATTGAGAAATATGTTATATATGATTGGAAGCCCACAATAGGGGTCACATGTGGATCCTTTGGACATGATCCTGGATTTTGGCTCATCCTAATCCTTCAGCAACCCAATCTTCTACTCACCTCTCGCAACAAAGAAGCAAAACCAAAAATCATGATAGATGAATGTTAAAACCTACCATAAGACTCTGAATAAGGAATATTCATACACACTAGCTAAATTTCTAGGGTTTAATCTTTCAAACAGCAATTGGAAATTATTGTCGGTCATTCTATCAATCAAAGCATATGTTTCATCGAAGGATTTGGACATCAAAAATCCACCAGCAGCCACATCTATAATAGATCTAAGAGAACCGAGAAGACTACTATAAAACATTTGAATAATAGATCAATCGGGTAATGCATGATGGGGATGCTTCCTAAGCAATTCTTTGAAATTTTCTCAAACTTCATAAATTGACTCGCCATCTAATTGTGTAAATGAGGTGATATCATTCCTAAGGTTTGTAGTCTTAGATGGGGGACTATATTTGGCTAAAAATTTATAAGCTAAGTCATTCCATATAGTGATTGAGTCGTGGAATAATAAATTTAACCACATCATAGCTTTATCTCTTAATGAGAAAGAAACAACCTAAGTCTAACGCATCATCTGATACACCGTTATATTTAAATGTAGCATATATCTCCAAGAAATACGACCCAAAAAATTACGGCATCATCAGAACTCCATAATTTCAACTTTCAAACCAAAAAAAAATACGACCTTTGACAAAAATTATGACAGCAAAGCAAGAAGGCCGCAAGGAACAGCTAAAATCAAACAATTTGAGCACCTGAAACCATATCTTAAGGTAAAAAGCGGTGCAGGAGTGCCCCGCAGCATGAAGAAGACGAAGAGCAACGCTGCTGTCGACTCCACCACTAAGAAGTACGGCGACCTTCAAGCGCCTTCCTAGCATCGAGCAAACAAGATAGGGCTCTAGATTGATATAATTGTAAGAGGTTGAAGAACACAGGGTGTTTCCTGAACCTAGGGAAGAAAGGGATGGAGAAGAGGACAGTGAAGACGAAGAAATGGACGCAGATGTTGTGCTTGGCGAAAAACTAGCGATGCGTTGAAGGGAAGTGGGAAACGAATAAGGGTGGAAAATGAGAGGATTGCGGGGCTTGAGAATACGATTTCGTAAGGCGGCGAAGGGACCGATGGCCGCCATTGCTCTGCGCATACTAGGTGTCTCTCTCCCTGTGTGTCTCTGCCGCCGGGTCGCCGGCTTGGCGGGGCGTTAACTGTGAAGGTTGTGGAGAGGTTTATTGTTTGGTAAAATTAGGATAGGATTATTACCTTGTTGTTAAAAACACATTGTGGAATAAAATAATGCTATGATTGGGATGATTTGAAGGAACAATTATTACGCCCTCTGACCGGACGTAGAGCTACGTTCGGCCGCCAATAACATGTCGTCATGTGCTCTTACACTCTACTGCGCGGCCCGACAACTTGACTCGGACCGGAACCCGGGAATGCTATGTTCGCGTATTGCGAGGTATTGCTCAGTATTGCTAGGTATTGCATGACAATAACGAGAAATACCGCTCTGTGAAGACCAATACCGAGTAATAGAAAAACTCGGTACAACTCGGTATTTGCTCGGTATTGGTTATTGCCAAGCAAAATCGACCAATATCTAGCAATACCGAGTAATACCGAGCAATAGAAAAACTCGATACAACTCGGTATTACTTGGTATTTGCTCGGTATTAGTTATTGTCAAGCAAAATCGACCTATACGTAGCAATACCGAGCAATACCTAGCAAAATCGAGAAATACCGAGCCATCCTGGGTTAGTTCCGGGTCGGGTTGTCGGGGCGCGTGGTAAATAGTGAGAATGCGTGGTGCGATTCTGCTGGCGGCCGAACGTAGAGCTACGTCCTGTGACCGGACCAAATAAATGTTCGATTTGAAGGGGTATAAAACATTAAAAGGGGATTTACATACATACCATTTTATTTAATGCTATTTACATATCTAATATTTGAAATTTTAACATTACATGTCTACTACCTATAAAATAAATACAGGTGTATATAATGAAATATTAAAGTTTATAAGGTGATATGGGTTGTACGAATGAAATATATAAGTGATATATTTTATATTAAAATTTTATATGAATGTTATTAATGTAATATTAAAATTTTAGGCATTAGATATATAAATAGCGTGAAATAAAGTGTTATGTATATAAATCCTCCAAAAATAAAATTATTATAAATTTGATATAGCTATTGCATGTTAAGTGATTCATAATAATAGGGATAAAATATTTAACTAAACACTATAGTTTATACATGAAGAAAATCTATCACGTTTGACCTAATTAAAATAAATAATTAATATTTGTCATTTATTACAAATAATGAAATTTCTCATAATTGAGAAAGCTATTGTTATAATATAGTATAAATAAACGGTATAAAATAGATTCTATTATATAAGTTAAAAGAGATATGTGGTATAGGAGTTGTCATTAAGAGATCATTTGTTATATAAATGGATGTTATATTTGAGGAGGGGGGATTAGACACTAAGGCTTTGGTTAGAACAGGTTTTTGACAATTTTTTTGATAAGAAAAGTAATTAGTAAAAAAATAACGTGTGTTCACATTAGAGCTTTTCAATGCTTTCTTTAAATCTTTGCGTTTAAAAAGCTTTTTTTTAATAAGCAATTTTGAAAATGTGGTTGAAATTTGATCCTTAAAAAGTAAAAAATAAAATAAAAAGTTTAAGTTGTCCCAAATAAAGTCTTAGAATTCTAACATAAATTTGGGTGTTTATATCTAGAGTGAGAGTTGGAGTTAAAGGTATGTATCTATCTTATAAATGGAGGCATGCATCTTTGTTGTTGGTAATGAAGATGGGCATCAACCTCTGTGACAACTATGTGCACAAATCTTATAAATATTGGTATGCGCCAATGTTATTAGAAGAAACGGGCGACGGTGTCAGTGGGTGCAGGTGAAGTTGGGTGACAATAGTTATAAAATTAATACGGGAATGATAATTGGATGATCGTAGATAGGTTACAATGATCAAGGAATCGCAGTCTATCTATTACACATTCATGTTCAACATTTGGATTGACATATTCTGATTCGGTTGTAAAAAGTATCAATAAGAGGATTTGGGGAGGAAGAAGAGATTTTTTTAGTTGCTTCGGGTCATTTTCAGCCGTCGGCCCAGTCAAAAAGTTTAATTTATGTTTCCGTTAATGAAAAATACGAATAACTTTGTGCTGGTAAAATTTCAATGCGTAACAATTATATGTTATAGAAATTAATAATGCAAACATTTTGATTATTTCCTAAAAATTTTATAACTGAGGTTTTGAAATTTGTGGGGTTTTTTTTGAATAGAAAATCATCTTGATTCTCAAAAATAGTGTTGTCATAAAATAAAAAATTTAAAATATTATTTTACACAATCCTTGGTGATTTGGTTATTTTCTAAAAAATGTACATTTTTGTCTAGTAGAGTATTATGTCGCCTACCGTTAGAAAAAATTGTGCAATTCTGGCACATGCTCAATTATACTCTAATTGATATAATATGATAAAAATATATATGCATATGTGATTAAATAATATTTGTTGTGATAGTTATAAGCCATGTTCTGGTGTTATAAGCACAAAAAGAGTTATAAGAGGTTAGAATCCTTTGAGATTCTGTCTAGATCCAGGGAATGTGATATGAATTGTAATTTATTCATATGCTCGAAATTATTATTTTTTATAATTGGATAATTATTATGCTTGTAATACATTTCTCAGTACAATAATTTATTAGATTGTATTTAACTAATTTTAAATATTTAGCAAAACATTTAATAAAATAATTTTAAAAATTTATATCATTTTATGTGGCATGTTGAGATGTTGTAGCTCACTGTGATTTTGCTCCTGATTTTTAGGCTTAGGGGGAAAGGGAAAGAGCTTATGGATTAGCAATTCAGGACTGATCAGAGTTTATAGGTATTTCTCTATTTTAATTTTTATACAGTCATGATTAGTTATTATTATGTTCTATAGCTTATGCATGTAACCATGTATTATAGTGTAGTTACATTTTGATAAAATGAAAAAAAATATATATATATATTAAAGGTGAATTTTTTTTTAGTATTTAGATATTTTAATAGCTCAGTAGTTTATAGTTTATTTAAAATGAATATTGAAAAAGAATCTAAAATACTCTAAAACTATATCTTGGGATTTATCTGTTACAGCTCAACATGATAGGACATGTCCTAATCGGGTTTGGTTGTAATACAAGCGATAACAACCAACGGGTTGTAGTTAGATGACGACGATTGAGGGACCATGATCAGGAAAATGTTATCGAAGGATTATAATCAATGATTGGAGGATAGAGATCTAACGATGATTGTAAAATGATGGTAATTAGACGATGGTTGTCTGAAAAATAATGATTTGATGACAACAATATGGCAGTGATCTGGTGGAACCCCATGATTTTTTAAGCATTTCAACTCTATTGAATCTCAAGCTAATAGCTCTCGTCATATAAAGAGTGAGTGTCTATTTATAATTTTTTATAGTGAAATGCTCCATAAACATATCCATGAGGGATGTTGGGTTTGTTTGATTCATCTCATTGCAAAAGCTCAATCCAACTATAAGCATGCGTTATTATTTTTTTTTTTATCATACAATTAATATCCTAAAGTTTCAATTATGTTTGAAATGTTTGATATGGGCTCATCGGTACTTTGATCGGATTTATCTTCGTGTTGACATTTTATCTCAAGAAGATGTTCTATTTGACTATAATTTTCTTTTTAAATTAGAGTTTGGATGATCCTTAATTTAATCATAGAAGTTTTCAATTCAAATATGTATTGATATTAGTGTCTGATCAAGTCAATTTTTTTACAACAAGCCAATAATTAATTAGAATATAATTTCATAAGTTGCCATCATCATAGTAATTAGAAAATTTCTCAACTATTTTAATTTTTATTTTATGGTTCTTTATTTTCAAGGAATATCACAAAAGTTGATGAACTTGTTAATCATTAAGTTTGGACTATATATATATATATATATATATATATATATATATAGTGCCCATCACTGAGAAGGTAAATATTTTTATTCAAAAAAATTCAATTATAGAGTCGTCACTCTATGGGCCCGTCATGACGGCTAGCCAATATTCAATAGGGTATACCGACCTACATACAAATACGCCGTGTGTATGATGTTGCAATAAATTTTTGCATATAATATACAAATCGACATGCCAAATATAATTGTATAATTACTATGATTTACATGAATGATAATAATTTCATTTTACAAAACAGCAAGAATTAAAATTCCCCATCACATGAATTTAGTTAAATGAACAATAAATCAATGTAAAGTTAGTTCTATTACATGTTGATTTCATTATTAACAATAAATGAGATTTACTATATGTGTGTAATCATACTGAAGAATTTAATATATGACTCATAATTTAAGCAGCAATTGTCAAAAGAATCTAAATTCAGAGAGCATGATTGCGCTCTTAATAAAGAAGGTGTGCGTTTATCCCAAAATAAAGAATCTAACGTGAAATAATCCATGATAAAAACTAATAAGAAAATCATTTATGGTCCTTGGAAAATCTAGATTCGACGAACGAAAAAGGCGATAAAAAGGCTTTGAAACTCATTGTCTTCACGATCAAACTAAAAGGAGGGAATTATATTTGAGAGAAATATTTGACTTACAAAGGAGAGCTCCTCTTTGATGTCGGTGTTAGATCAAAGGAAGAAGAAGGTTAAGAACTTCTCATATGGCGGTTGAGAGGGACATAGCCGAAAAGGAAGGAGAAGGTAGAGATTTGACGGTTACTACGAAAGGGAAGGAGGACAGGGATTTTGCGGTTGTGGAGGAAGGTTTATAATTATGCCCTATGCTTCCTAATTGGTTTAAATGGCCAGAGGAAGGTCGGCGAGGTCGGGAGAATTTCGTAAGTCAACGAAATTGCGTGATTATTGCGATTGGAGAGAGAGAGAGAGTGAGTGAGAGAGAGAGAGAGAGAGTTGTGGCTAGGGAGGCATACGACCCGCTCGCATGTGAAAGAGGTGAGAACTACATGGTTCGTATGAGATAGAGGTGGAAGGGTTGCTTGGTTCATACTCAGACTCAACTTGACCAAATCGTTCCATTTATGCAACTATTACATAACTAGCTGCAACCACCACCATCGCTGGCTTGTAAACATTGTTGTTTGCCCCGATACAATCACTGATTGCTTGATAACCCTACCAATACCATCATTGGATGCGAACATCGACTGTCATCATTTTGTCGCCACAACAACTATCTTTCACCCATACTTAACCGTCGGCCATTGCTATAAGATACTGACCATCATCATTGTCGTTACCATCGCACCATCTCCATAGTTGCAAACCATCTCTATAGCCACCTTTACCATCGTTGCTTCACATACACCATCTCCTTTAGGGGTGTCAATTTTGGGTCACGAGTCGGGTTTGGGTTGAACCTGAAACTAACCCGGCATTATTCGGGTCAACTCGAACATAGGTCAATTTTCTAGACCTGAACCTGACCTGCTTCGGGTCCTGGTGAACCCAATCCGACACGAATGACCCGGTGTTAATAAAAAAATTGCTAGTTTTTGGATCCAAAAATGGGTCAATCTTCGCTTTTCGGGTCGAAAAGGGGTCAATCTTGGGTTGCCGGGTCAAAACGGGTCAATTTCGGGTCAAAGGGTCAACCCGAACCCGACCTGATTTTAGAAACGGATCAAATTGTTGAACCCGAATTCGAACCTGACCTATTTTTGGTTATGGTCAACCCAAACCCTAAATTTTCGGGTCGAGTTCGGGTCATGTTTTTGAGTCGGGTCCAATATTGACACCCCTAATCTCCTTGCCGCAATCTCTGTCAATGTCTTCATCAGCACTCTTTAATTGAATTAAATAATATTTAATAAAAATCTATGTTTAAGATAATGCATATATTTTTATTTGATATAAAAATATAAACAAAACAAAATATAAATAATGAAAACAAAAAAAAGATCCCATTAGCCCCTCGTGAGCATGCATATAACTCCTAAGATTTGTAAATAATAAAAGCATTTCAAATATATTTATATATAACTTTTCCCATTTTTAAGTTTGTTAAATAATGCTCCTTCTCTAGCCCTGATCTATGAAAAGTCTAAAAATTATATCAATAAATAAATGTACTATAAAAAGAATGCAATGAATTTGAAATACTTTTGTGTTATTTGTTCAAGTGTAAAATAAATGCCAGCGATTATTTATTTTTTTGCTTTGCATGAACTAAATTGAATACATTGTAAATCTCAAAGATGTTGGTGGTCCGTGGCTACCAGTGGCGACGGGTTGGATGGTGGATGGTGATTATGGGCGTGGTGGGTGGTTGTCGAAGGAAATGACAGGTAGTCAGCAAAAGTGGTGGCTGGAGACAACTCCAAGTGGTGGCTGGAGACAACTACTTGTTGGTAGAGGCAGTTGACGGTGGAGGTCGATGATGCTTAGTGAACAAAAATAGTTGTCGTCAGTGGTAGCGTGTGGTCGACATTAGCAGTAGGCAGTTGGAAGGAGTAATGTCGACAAATTTATGACATCTTTGGAAATTGATCACAGTCTATCGAATTCCAAATACACCAAATTTGTATTGGAGGGTGTATTCCAAATACACTAAAAATTTACGTTACATTTATTTTACTTCAAATCAAACATCAATATTATCAAAATTTTTACATTTGAAATGCTTCACAACCATTTTACTTCAAACCAAATAACTCTTTAAGAACATTTGACTTTACTTTGATATTAGTTTTAGATATATCAAATTTATATTATATTAACCTTAAAATAATTTAATAATTTTAAATCTTTAGGAAGATAATTTATAAAATAAATAGAACAAGTCATGCCTTGGGTGTAAGCCAAATGAAATCTGGTAAGTATCCTCAAGTTATTAAAAACTAATTTGATTTGTCCTTTATTGAATGCGATTTGATCATCATTATGGAGTTCATTGTCTGTTTCTATTATAAAAAGGTTTTGAACAATCTTTTTGCAAGAATGGAGAGAGGAAGCGAAGTAGCGAACGAATTCGGACAAATTATTGGTCTACTTGCAGGGCAGGGCTTTTATGCTCCGCGTTCGACCCATCAAGTTCTGTTTGTGTAGGGTTCCCAACTTCCCATTCCCGTCTGCGGCTTCATAAGCTTCACGCTCCTTTCATTTTCTCTCTCCATCTCTCGCTTTGCTCCCCATCAGAAGAGAGCGGAGAGCCATGAGCATCTGCGCTATCCGCCTCGACCCGGCTCTCACCTCCTTTGGCAGAAGGGGCGGCAATGGCGGAAATCGGGCGGCGGCTTCGGCGACATCGCAGGTGTTAGTGCCGTGCAAGGGGCTTGCTTTGCAGGAGAGGGCTGCAGTGTTTTCTCATGCACGCTCCTCACAGTGGCGCTTGGCGGCGGCTATCGCCGCGGTGGAGGTTGAGAAAGGCGACAGCTTTGACAGGCTTGGATCGTTGAGTCAGGTGACTGGCGTGCTGGGTTGCCAATGGGGTGATGAGGGCAAGGGAAAGCTTGTTGATATTCTCGCAGAGCACTTCGACCTTGTGGCTAGATGTCAGGTGAGCGCTTTCCTTTCCTTGTTAGTCGTGAAATTCCTCTCTGGAGCTTGTGGTTGAAGAAGCAGCTGCTTGTACATGGTTCAAGTTTCAACTTTTTATGGTCAATAGGTATCAGCTATTTATTGAAATGATCTTCTCCTTGGGGTTTATTTGTTTTCGTAAAATCAGTAGCGGTTTTGTTCTTCCCATCTTGTTTGCGTGAAATTAGCATTTCTGTTTAGTTTCAAATTATTGTTCTCTCACAACATATTGTTAGATGTTACCTCTATTTTCTACATTTGTTTTATAATGCATTTTTAACACGCTTGTGGAGAACTTTAAAGCCAAGCTTTTTAGCACTTTTTAGTTCGTTTTCTGAATCTGTTTCTCAAGAAAATTTATTTATTTCGACTGAATATGAAAAAGCATATGTTGTACTTCTAAGCTACAGAGCAAGTACTACAAGGGAACTTATATGCAAAGCATCATCTGCGAAACTATCTAGTTTTGGAGTGCTTATGTATTAGTAATTGGGAGTTAAGGTTGGTTCAAGATCATTGGTAAAATTGATTTATGAGCACTACGGCATTGTATTTGAATTAAGAGATATATTTGCCATAGTTCTTTGTATATCATTTGTAAACTAGCTGAACATAGGAGGACAACTTCTGTTCTTGCAATATCTTTCAATACCTGGAGCGACAGGGCAACACATGCCAAAGCAGTGAAATCTATAAGCAAATACAGTCTCTAATTCCGCTTTTACCATGCTTTTTCCATGGTTGGTTCCCAAGAGTGTAAGTTACCCAGCACATATGCAACAATCCAGATCAGCCGAAGCGGCAATGCAGACAAAAGAGCCTTCCAGAACTTTTGACCTAGTTACTTTAATATGCTGATCTTAGCAAATCTAAGCTAAGATTGCAAATGCATCTTCAAGTTGGATTTTTCTCACTGCATTAGTACAGCTTACATTTGCCATGTTGCCCAAATGCGTATCTATGAGTCATGTATTAACAGGTCAACATATCTTTAGATGGTAATGCTTATGAATGGTTAAAATAAAACATTTCATCTTTTTACTTGTTAAGTTTGATATCAGGTTTAATGAAGTCAAAATTTTGGTTATCTACTAGAAACTTTACCTTTTTAGACTTCTATTGTGATTTTATTGGCGTGCTTTTGAGTAAGGATTATACATTATTTTCCTATTGGATGGATGTCTAGCTTAAACTTTATTCTTGTTGCTTCCAGGGTGGATCAAATGCTGGGCACACAATCTACAATGCTGATGGCAAGAAGTTTGCTCTCCATCTTGTGCCTTCTGGTATCCTCAATGAGAAAACTTTATGTGTTATAGGTAATGGAGTTGTTGTCCACCTTCCTGGACTGTTCGATGAGATTGATGGCCTAGAGTCTAATGGTGTCTCTTGTGAGGGAAGAATATTGGTTTCTGATCGTGCACACTTATTATTTGATCTCCATCAAGTTATTGATGGACTTAGAGAAGAAGAGCTTGGGCATTCTTTTATTGGAACAACTAAAAGAGGAATTGGACCGTGTTATTCGAGCAAAGTTATCCGCAATGGTTTAAGGGTTTCTGATCTGAGGCACATGGATACATTTAGTCAGAAGCTAGAGATTCTAATGAGGGATGCAGCTGCACGTTTCAAGGGATTCAAGTATAGTGCAGATGTACTGAAAGATGAGGTAAATAGGTATAAGAAGTTTGCTGAACGTTTGGAGCCCTTCATTGCTGATACTATTCATATCATGCACGAATCAATAAAGAAGAAGAAAAAAATATTGGTTGAAGGTGGTCAGGCTACCATGTTGGATATTGATTTTGGAACTTACCCTTTCGTCACCTCTTCAAGTCCTTCTGCTGGTGGGATTTGCACTGGGCTTGGTATTCCTCCCAGATGCCTGGGTGACTTGGTTGGAGTTGTGAGTAGATTCCTATGCTATTTCGCTTTTTTATTCTTTATTGTCTTTAGGTTAATTTGATTTATTTGATAGGCCTTTTTCTTTTGATTATATGTTTTTAGTGTTTGTAGCAAGTCTTAATATTTTTTTGTCTACTTTTGGTTATTTCTCTGCAGGTAAAATCTTACACTACTAGAGTGGGATCTGGTCCTTTCCCAACTGAGATATTAGGTAAAGGAGGTGACATGCTTAGGGTGGCTGGAATGGAGTTTGGAACAACTACTGGTCGTCCTCGGCGTTGTGGATGGATTGATATTGTTGCATTGAAATATTGCTGCCAGATCAATGGTTTATCATCTCTTAATCTAACCAAGCTAGACGTCCTTTCAGATTTTTCAGAGATCAAGTTAGGTGTTACTTATAAGCAAATTGGTGGAAAAATATATGAATCATTCCCTGTAGACCTTCAAGCTCTGGAACAGATACAGGTACCTAATTTCGAATGTTGTGCTTTTGTTTTAGAATGGAGTTTCTGGTTTTATCGCTAATTTGATGCGAAAATCTTTTCTTTGTACTTTACATTTTGTCATAGATAGATAGCTATGATTGTTTCCATATGTAGTCCTAGTTATTAAAGGATAGCCAGGAGATAACAAAGACTAGACATGGTTAAGATGAAGGTACAACAAAGAAGTTAATGAATTGAATTAGCTAACACAAATTGTTAAGATTAATAGGGAGTGGAATATTAGTCCCACATTGCAAGTAACACAATAGTTGAGTATTTAAACTAGCATTATGATACTTACCATTGGTTTAAGCTTTTTGGTTAATGGGAGTTCTTAATATACCAATAGTGGTTCTTATTGGTTAGCTTAATCTTTTGAGTTGATGGGGGTCCATCTACTTATATATTGGTCTCAGCTTTATCCTTTGGTGCTTTTTTGTTTTGAACTCAATTTCATTGATTCCTTACACTCGAAAGCTATCGAGAACCTCACATCAATGGAATAAACATTTCTCATCAATATAGCATTTTGATGAAATGCAGAAAGTATTTTGCGTTCACGCATAGAATTACTTCCAACCCATAACAAATTAGTCAATAAAATTGATGAGGACATCAAAAGTATATCAGAGACGTGGATGATGATCGACGACTATGATCACGCCGATTTATTTTTGATTATTATTGTATTAGTTTTATGTTTTATGAGTTTTGTTACTTTCTTCCGTTTATACCCTTGCTTAAAGGGTTTAGTCGTATGTGTGCCCTAGGGGAAAGTATGTCTTTTGTTTTCATTCATTATGTTTGGCTATATATAAGCCACTTGTATCTTTTTGGAGGGGATGATGACTATATGAAAGCTTATGCACTTGTTTTAAAATTTCCTGTTTGGTGAGATTGGTAATCCTAGAGAGTGAGCTCTAGAGGAAAAGAAACACCCCAACAGCCGGTGTGCTTTTGGGTTATCATTTTTTCTCTCTTCTTCCTCCTCTAATCTTGTTTTCCAGCTTCTCCCTCCAACCAATAGATTCTTCATTGCAGTTTTCCACTTCCCTGCTCCAGTCCATCACTGTCCTGCCGCCAATCAGCCAACCAACTGCTAACTGAACAGTTCAAGTACTGTTTGTTGTCTTCTAGTTGCTCTATAGCGGCCAACAATCCCCAAATTCCAGCCACCATTCATCCTAGAACCCTCCTCCACCTTCCCCTCATCCTATTGTGCACCTACTCCACACTTTGGAAGCCCAAAAGCCATCTTTTGGGGACTCAACAGCCACCAAATCATATTCCCTGCTGAAACCCTTCATCTCCCAAAGATAATAGGAAAAGTCACTACCTTTTTTCACCCTCAATAAAGCTCCAAACTTTCATATTTCCAAAGCTGCCACCTCACTTAACTTTCCAGCTTTTGTTTATTAATTACAATCCTTGTAATAATACGACTTTTCCCCACCCAATACCCAACTTTATCCTTCATCTCCCCTTGGAATTAATTTATTTATGCTGCAATTACTGCTCCCGCAGCAGCCAAGGGAGGCATTAACCCCAACTAGGCCTTACTTTTTTTTCTAATTACCTCTTCCAACTTGCTGCCAACCTTTCCCTACACCCGAACACAAATAACTGCTGCTGTCCACTCCCTTTCCAGCAGCCAACACCACCATTTCAGTCAGCTGAAGGCAGCCACTACATCTACCAAAGCAAGGACAGAGGTTTACCTCTCATTCGAGTTCAGCACCCCGCATTCTTCTGAATCACAGGGCATTCCAACAAAATATTGTGTTGTCCAACCAACCAGAAAAGAGCACGTTGCTGTCCAGCAACATTCAGGAGGTGCATGTCATCTTCCCATTGGGTAAAACTCACCCGCCAACTCTTGTTCCTTCCTAGTCTAGTGCTCAATTGTGGTTATTTCTTGATTCATGAAGATCATGCTATTTTTCTCCGCTAAAAAACTTAGTGAAATAGAGAGTTGAGTGAGTGGATTCTCATAGTGATTAAACTCATTGTTAATATAGGGATATCTTGTTGAAAACCATTCCTTATGCTTTGTTTTGGAACTATTGATTGTTTGAGATTTTAACTTCATGTGTGTAGCTTGGCCTAAACTGAAATCACCCCATTTTGTTTCATGTCGTCGTTTAAATCACTTAAAGTTAATTCTTAGTATTATTTTCAACAAAGAACGCGTGCAAACTCTATAATAAACATCGTTGTTTCATTTAGTTCTACATCAAAAATATTTCCCGCCTGACTTTCAAGATCTAGCATCCTAACATATTGAAAAAAGGATACTTGCTGAACTGGATATTGTATTTGTATCAATATGGCTATTTTGAATTTCAAATATCTCCTTCAACAATCTTTTTTGAAACTTTTAATAATCTCATGAATCTCTAATTGTTTAAATCTCGCTTCATCAGTAACCCTACTTGAAAAGAGCACATTCTCTAGGAGATGTGCCGTACATCTCCTACAGATCATAAAAATAGTGTCAGTATGTGATCATCGAGACAAAGGTAAGCGTAAGTTGGTTGATGATAGAGTAGAAGTTGTTAAATAAAATACAAGAAAAACATGGAAAACTAAATTAGCTGAGTGCAATTCCACTAGCTCTTTCAATCATCATACTTGAAAGAAGGCAAGGAGTTCACATGTAGACCTAATCAATGGGCGGGCTGGGCTTATCGTCGGCCAGACTTTGCATTTTTTGTTTTGATCTTAGGTTGGGCCTAGCTAATGCATCTAATACTGCAACCAAGCCCAACTATTGCTTGAACATGGTGGGTCTACAGGCTAGTCAAGATTGAATATAATTCTTAACCTACGAAGAATAAGAATTTTTAAAACAAGTAAAAAGAAAACAAAAACAAGACATGTGGGTGTAAAAAATAAAATTAAAGAACATATCAACCAATAGATAAGCAATAATCATATACATATTTATCTTAATCGCTTGAGACTTCAAATTAAGATGCAAAACAATAAATAAGCCACCTTTTGTACTGTTCGACTTACTACAAGCTTGTTTCTCACTGCCATGCCTTGCCTTATTTACACCTAGTCCCTGGCTTTAAGATTAACTTCTACGGCTTTCTTTTTTCTAGTCTAGACCTAGCTTAAATAAAATTGCGCGTAGCCCACCCATGGAGGAACTCTATTCATATCCAGGAAATAATCTTGCATTCATCGCCATGGCATCTGTGCATTCATTCAAAGGTATATTTATGCAAATATGGCCAAGAATGTGATTAGGTTAGATTAATCTTTCGGTATGATTAGGTTTGATGAATCTTTTGGTATGATTAGGTTTGATGAATCTTTTGAAATAATAAAATATAAGTAAAGAAAAATAAATCTCATGATTTCCTTGGGGTATATATTTCTGTCTTAAAGAAATAATTAGAGTATTGTACACGACAGAGCTAACAAGTTCTAACAAGAAGTTTATGCTCAGAGATTTGACCCACCCCTACTATAGGGTGAGCCATACAATGAAATGCTACCAGAAATCTATGTGGACTAAATTTAAAGATGACATGCTAGAAGATGGGCTCTCAAGAAAAATTATTTGGGGCAAATATTGATTGATTTGTACGACTATTGAATATATCAAATATGAGTACCAAAAAGTTGGACACATGAAATTGATTATTGCTAACATGTAATATTAGGTGATTGGCATCAATCGACTAATCTTTGCTTTGTCAATGACAACTTCTTGAGCGACTTGTAACATATTAAGACCCTTTGATGGCTCCTCACAATCTACTTTTCTCAACAAGCCAATACAATCTAGGCGATCAAGCCCAAATTAATGTTGACTGCTACTTGCATGGATGAATGGTTCAAATCTAGTTGGACATGAGATATGGAATCAAGTTATAAATTAAAGTCAAGTTATATAAGACAAACCAAAGAGGATGCCCACAGCTTGGAGCTCATGATTGACTTGGCCACTCCATTGTTTGACTAGTCATTCCTAGGAATCACCCCTGCGAATACTTAACTTTATTTAACAAGGTCCTCATCTGCTTGTGGGTGGAACTCTTTAAATAACTTCTTGAAAAATTATTTAGGTGGGAAAATTTAGAACAATACGTCTATACGACTTCCACTTATAGCGGCGAATCAATACCATAACCCAAGTAACCCCCTTGTATAATGTGGAATGCTTCGCTTGACTCAAACGAAGGATACGAATTGAAGCACCAAAAGTTGCACAAGATAAGGTTTGGTTGAGGATATTTACTGCTCCTTTGAGATAGTTTGAAAATTTATGTGGGACTAATAAGATAAATATTGTGTACAAAATTGAAAGTGCTATTGGCATAACAAGAGCATTGATATCATTAACATACATCATAGATGTGACCTTTGAGGTGATAAATTGCACAGAAGATCAAATATCTTATTCGAAGCTCCTTATTTATGATGGAGTAGGTGATCTTTTAGGTAACATCAATTATGCATGCAAAAGCAATGCATCTTGAAGCTTTGTGTGAAAAAAATTATGGAAGTGAGATCTCCTCCATGAAGGAGATTGTTACATTTGAATTATGTGAAGAACATGTAGTCCTTAAGGGTGAACTATGATATAGTTTAATCCAATTTTTTAGGTGTATAGTTAACAACTAAAGCTTTGCAACTCAAACCTTAATGAAGCCCTATTAATTATATTTTTTCTTCTAGCTTTTTTGTTGTGACTTACCGCTTCTTGAATTGCTTGAGTTTGTCATTTCTCTCCTTAAATCTATATACCATTCGAACGCTCGTACCAAATTTAGACATCATCGTTTCTTGTGCTATCAAGAAGTTGAGTTCAGAGTTTGACACCATAACAAAAATTGTGATTTCCATCTAAGGGGTTGCTCATTGGATCGTGATTCAAAAGGGAAACACAGTGATTAGAGATACTTTTCCTTAGCACTTGGAGCCTACAAGCATTAACATTGAGGTTGTTCAAGAGACGACTCTTCC